TCTTGAGAATGTCTGATGACAGGATACACAAGATCCTAATGTACAGCCAGTTAGATCAGGGCTACAGGAATGTAGGACGCCCATGGCTAAGATACAAAGACAAGCTGAAAAGCAACTTGTCAGCTGTCAATATACCACATAACACCCTTGAGCGCTTAGAATTGGAGCGGGTACAATGGAAACCAACATCTTTTAGTGGACTCAGCAGTTTTCAATCTGCTTGTCTGAATCATCTTCAAGAAGCGAGAGCAACATCTAAAAGGTCAGCCAATCTAACAGTGATCTCATCTCATAATTCTCACACTTGCTCCATATGTGGCCTCCTTTGTAAATCACTAGCGGGTCATAAGTGCCACTTATGATTATCGCACAAAATTTCATAACTGAATCAACTAAGCTGTCAGATCCTCATACGTCGAAACCGACGGGAGAGTCCATTATTATTATTATTATTATTATTATTAGATATGTATGTGTCTCTGTGTGTGTTTGTGTGTGTGTGTGTGTGTGTGTGTGTGTGTGTGTAGATTTGATAAGCCGGTTAATAAAATTTGAAGAATAAAAAGCCATCAGCATGATAACAATATTGGCAATAAGTTATTATATACTAAGGCGGCATCTAGCGGTCTCCCGCAGTGGGCTCTTGATTAGGCCCTCGGCTTGTTCAGGTGTTTGAGAGTCCCTAAGTTTTTATCTATTTTCAGCATTGGAAGATTATCTGGCTGCCATTTGATCTGGGTTTTCATTTGCACGGGACTTTCTTTTCCTAGCTGCAGCCTTAGCTCTTTTGATTGAAATCTGGTTCTCTGTTGGGGGAGATTTCTGCCGTATGTGATAGGCAACAATAAACTACAGAAGAACTCAAAATTTATCGCTGCATTAATATTTAATCTTACCTTTTAAAAGTTCAACAATATTTCCAGCGGAAGGTTCTTCATTGAGCCTTAATCACAATAGGTAGGAAGGAGTAGATGCGATAGGCAACAATAAACTACGGAAGAACACAATATTGATCGCTATATTTAAATATTGCATTAATATTTAAGCTTACCTTTTAAAAGTTCAACAATATTTCCAGCGGAACGTTCTTCATTGAGCCTTAATCACAATAGGAAGATTGAAGGGAGAAGAACTCAAATTGATCGCTTTGCATTTAAGTATTGCATTAATATTTAAGCTTACCTTTTAAAAGTTCAACAATATTTCCAAACTACAATAGGTAGGAAGGAAGAACTCAACAATAAAACAGAAGAACTCTGCTGCATTTAAGTATTGCATTAATTTCTAAGCTTACCTTTTAAAAGTTCAACGAGAATTCTTCTGCCGCCAGTTAATTTAAAGGCAATCTGATGTGCGTAGGTCCTTACTTTCCGTACAAACAGTTATTTTTATTTCATGGGTAACTTTCGCAATTAATTTCAATAATTCACAAATCTTTTTCCAAGTTATGAAAATTTTATCGTACAAGGAAATTCGTCGCAAAAAATGATGTAAAAAGTCACCGAAAACAATCGCATTAATGAATACTTGGGAATCCAAAATTTCTGTTACATGAGTTATTGAAAGTTAGAGTTGTGTCCCTTTAATTGAAAAGTGTGACACAGAGTTACACTAACATTCGCATTTGTTATTTAGATTAGCTTTTTGCCTAAATTGAAGAGAAAGATTTTAAAGTCGGAATTTTCGGACACGCATATGTCGTTTTTCAACGAGACGAGGAATAAACAAAGTTGGACTCACTCTGCTGGGGAATGTTGGTGGTGGTGGGTAAGAGGGCTCCCTCTGGAAATTATACTCTCTGACCCAAATCCCTGCTTAATCGCTCAATGTGTGATTTTCATTTTTATTTTCAACTCCGATCTGTGTCTTTCTATTCGGCTGTTGAATGAAGATACTAAAAGCACGCATCTGACGCCATCAATGCTAGGAAACGGTTGGTTGAAGTATGCAGAGACAGGTGCATGTTTTTATGGTTATGGAAGACGGAATACCGTACCTATTTCACCAACATATTCCCTTTTTCGCATTAGTGCCAAAAGTAAATATATAAAATTCGAGCTGTCACATTGAGTGAGTGCCGGGTGTGTGAAATTGCTATCAGTAATGATACGTTTTCGTTGAATTATAAAATCGCGAAAATCAGTCAACTGCTGATATTACCTGGCGAGTGGAGAGATTGACTGCTGGAGGTAACACGAATCAGCTAAGTGATAAATTATATATATATATATATATATATATATATATATGAATATATATAGAAAAAATAGAAAATAGGAAAAGAACCGGTTAGGTAGATCGAAAGTTCCTTAGTATTTTAGTTATTATTTTTTTAAAATAGTGCTCGATACAAATGTAGAGCATAAATATAATTATTTATTTAAAAATATGATTCCAACTCGCGACATAAGAAGTCACATGTTTCAAAACAAGAGCCGAAAACTTCAATATAATTATTTGAATTAAATTGAGTTAAAATAAGGTCTGTTCCATCTTCAAGCGAAACAGAGCTTTCTTTTCAGTTTAATTCATTATTTAATTCTTGTTTTTGAAACATGAGACTCTCTTATGTCGCGAGTTGAATCATATTTTTAAATAAATAATTATATATATATATATATATATATATATATATATATATATATATATATATATGAAGAAATATAGTCTTAAGATGTGCTATATTTATGGGATAAAGTGCTCAATATTAGAGATAGAGCGTGTGTAAATATAAAAGTGAACATAGAAGTCAACACTTAGAAGCAGAGTCTGTTTCATGCTAGACGCAATCGTCAGGTCACTCGTGGCCTGACGATTGCATCTAGCATGAAACTGACTGTCACCTCTAAGTGTTGACTATGTTCTATATTATATATATATATATATATATATATATATATATATATATATATATATATAGTAGTAATCGTTTGCAAAATCTCGGATAGCTCAACATGCAGATATGTCAAAACTAAATCGGTACCCGAGGAAAAACTGGAAATAAAAAAGAAAGAACTAAAAACATCGGAACTAGACGAAACAAATCGCTAAGTGCTTTAAGTCCTTAGTCCAAAGAAAAGAAAAACAAATGAGTAGATTGACTAACACATAGAGTGCTCAAGTAGAGCGATAAACTAGAATAAATCCTAAGGAAGCCAGGCAAACCTACCTAGGTTTCACCTAAACGGATCTTCAGGGTAAACTAGCTAAAAAAGGAAATGACGGAACAGTATTTATTAATAAAACCATTAAAACATTTAAAAAATAAGCATTAAAACCACGTGACAGAAAAACAACCCAAAGAATCAATTCTAATAAACATTTCTGTGCCTACACTTATTAAGAATATTCGATCTTTAATTAAATAAATTTTTAGATTCCTTATGTGTAGCGATAGCTAAATTTTCCTCCATAAATAATGAACAAAACCTGTCACCTGCCCTATTTTATGGTATTTTAAAAAATATTTCCCATTTTAAAAAGGGTCACTGTTATCTTCTTGCTTTATGTTCCATATATATGTGGACAGGCTGGTACTATGCTTATGGGCTTCATGATTAAAGTTATTTAGGTGGTTGTAGTAACGTTTTGCCTGGCTCCTTAGGATTTATTCTGTATATATATATATATATATATATATATATATATATATATATATATATATATATATAATAAAAAACTTAAACACTAATATTCCATGGTCATAATTTATTCCATTGGAATCGTAAAAATCCAAATCATCAGATCTACAAATTCAAAGTCTGATGAATTTGAGGTATTTATGATTCCAATGGAATAAATTATGACCATGGAATATTAGTGTTTAAGCCTTTTATTATATCCTACTCTGACAGACATTGAGTTCTACCTGGATTCTTCCTCTTGGAAAATTTTTTTCTGAAAATATACATGTATGGGTATTTTTTTTATATATATATTTTGCATATGTATGTATATTTTCCACTAATATTATATATATATATATATATATATATATATATATATATATATATATATATATATATATAAGAAACGAGAGCAAGATCTAAAATGTCAGTCAATCTAACAGTGATCTCATCTCACAATCCTCACACTTGCTCCATATGTGGCCTCCTTTGTAAATCACTAGCGGGTCTTAAATCGCACAAAATTTCATAAGTGAATCAATAAGCTGTCAGATCCTCATACGGGGGAGTACATTATATATATATATATATATATATATATAGTCGAGCTAGTTCGGACACTCCCGAGGTTATCATGTCAACATTCACGGTCGTGCATCGGGGTCAGATGGCTATTGGGGTGGCATTCTATGTCTATGGTCAATATGTGTTTGTTGACCGACCATCTTGTCTTGCGACAACACTAAGTTTATAAAGCGAGTTCTTGTTTTTCTCACCAGAAAAGAGCATTCTGCGTTGACGTAAAATTGTAGATATGGGTCCATAGACTTGTGGTTTAGCTGGATGTTGTTTCCTAGAGATGTTGAGTATCGCCCCCAGGATACGATTGTACGTTCGATCAAGCTTAGACTCTAGGGTTTTAGCTAATGTCCAAGCATTTATTAAAACCACCTCTACAATTGCCCGAAATAGTATCCATTCGAAGTTGTTTGGTAGATCAGATTTCCAGATTACATTAATTTTATTCAATGCGGCCCAGGCTTTAGCTATGCAAATTTTCATAACCTTTTAGTAGAATTTATTTCGCTTCAAATATATGTAAAAGATTCGACAGATTTTATTGATTAATCCGAGGCAGTTTTTACTGAGCCTTGTCGGTAGAAGCTTATGAATTCAGTTTTAGAGACATTGACGCAGTGTCCAACATTATTGGCAGCATTTTCTAGATGATGTAGGAGGGCTGTGGCATTGGTAATGGTGTCTGCAGAGATAAATAGGTCATCTGCATAATAAATATCGGTTAACTTTTGTAGGATATATATATATATATATATATAGGTACAGACAGACAGACAGATAAATATATAGATATGATCAGTCAGAGATAGACAGATAGATAGATATGTACACATTCAGATAGATAGATAGATAGATATAAACAGGATATGATAGATAGATAGATAGATAGATAGATAGATAGATATTTAAACATTCAGACAGATAGATAGGTATGAACAGACTGAGATAGATAGATAGATAGATAGATAGATAGATAGATAGATAGATAGATAGACTATTAGTTGTTCCTGCTACAGAAAAGAATGAAAGATATTTGAAAATTGAACCGAAGGGAAAGAAGGAACGAAGGACAGAAAGAAAAAGAAATTGAAAGAAAAAAATGGAAAAAACAAAGAAAAAAAAAGAAAAAAACTATTCAAAAGTAAATACAGAGGAAAAAGAAAGAAAGAAAGAAAGAAAGAAAGGGAGAAAAACAAACAAAAGCAAAGAAGGAAAAACAAAGGAAAGGAAGCAAGCAAAATTTAACAGAAAGAAAGTGGGAAAGAAATAGAGAAAGACAGCGAGAAACTTAAAACTAAGACGAAAAGCAAGGCAGGAAAAAGGAAAAAGGAATGAATGAATGAAGGAAGGAAGGAAGGAAGGAAGGAAGGAAGGAATGAAGGAAGGAAGGAAGGAAAGAAGGAATGAAGGAAGGAAAGAAAGAAGGAAGGAAGGAAGGAATGAAGGAAGGAAGGAAGGAATGAAGGAAATGTAGTATAAAAATAAAGCTTGAGAAATAGACTTGAACATTAAAAAAACGCGAAGAAAAAAAGGAAAAAATAACGATTGAAAAATAAACGCAAGAAAGCAAGAGAAAGAAAGAGAAAGAAAGAACTAAGGAAAGAAAGTCTACAAAATTAATCAGAAAGGAAATGGAAAGAAAGAAACAAAGAAAAATAAACAGGAACGAGGGAATGATAGAAAGAAAAAGAAAGAAAGAAAAAACTAACGGAAAAATTTGTGAAATTAAAGAGAAAGAAAGAAAGAAAGAAAGAAAGAAAGAAAGAAAGAAAGAAAGAAAGAGGGAAAATGAAAAGCCCGAGAGAAAGAAAAAATAGAAAAAAAGAAAAGTGGAAGGTTAGAAAGAAAGAAAGAAAATGTAAGACATAAAAGAAAGAAAGAAAGAAAGAAAGAAAGAAAGAAAGAAAGAAAGACTGGAAAATTAAACAGAAAGAAAGAAGGAAAGAGGAAGAGAGAAAAATATACAAGGACAGGAAAAAAAAGAAAAAAAGTAAAAGCCGAGGAAATTATATAAAATAAATAAAAAAGTAAAGAAAGAAAGAAAAGAAAAAGATTAAAAAAGAAAGAAAGAAAGGAAAAGAAAAAGACGAGGAAATTGCATAAAATTTAAAAAAATATATATAAAAGAAAGAAAGAAGGAAATAAAAAAGAAAATAATAGAAGATGAATGACAAAAGACCAAAAGTTGATTTAGGAATGACATTGTCGAGAGGGATATAATGTTTCGCCCTATAAAGTTGTGGTTTAAGGAACGCCACATTAGAAGACAAAGAGGGAGAAAGAGAGACAAAGAGGGAGAAAGAGAGACAGAGAGGGAGAAAACGAGACAAAGAAGAGAGTAATTAACTTGGCTGATTAGAAAACGAGATGTGTACGAGATGAACCGTGTGCAAATTGACAAGTTGAGTAGCAAAAATCGCAGACAAGACGCCGCCATGTTTTTGCCGATTAATAACGACGCGTGATTGAAATTATATTCCTACTAGTCGATTTATTCGCTACTTCCGGAACCTCTAGATGAATCATTTTGTGCAGAATGAAACATTTACTAACAGATAGTAAATAAAAGTCGGGTAAATACAAGAGGCATGGATAGCGGCTCGGACTAAAGTATCGGAGTGCCGTGTTCGAATACCAGTCGAATCCATTACATACACAAAGGTGCTAATACCCTTGGGAAAGGTATGAATCCTCTTCTTCTTCCCCTCCCACCCACTATGAATAAATAGTAGGACAGATCGGGTTCTATAGCCTTGGATGGCAACTGGTCTACCGCAGAAAGAAATGGCAACCTACTGCGGGAAAAAATCTGCCTCGTCAGTCATGTATCGAAAGATACATGATTTCCATTACATTCACTTACGCGCTAATACCATTGGGAAAGGTATGAATCATCTTTTCTCCACCCAGCTTGGGTAAATAGCAGGGCAGACCGGGTTTCTATAGCTCGTAGACCAGTTGCCATCCAAGGCTATAGAGAGAAATGGCAACCTACTGCGGGAAAAAATCTGCCTCGTCACTCATGTATCGAAAGATACATGATTTCCTAAGCGTGTATCACGCATGGCACATAACTGACTGGCTGACTTTCCCGTCGGATCCATTACATTGACTTACGTGCTAATACCCTTGGGAAAGGTATGAATCATCTTTTCTCCCCCCCAGCTTGGGTAAATAGCAGGATAGACTATGTTCCTTGAATGGCAATTGGTCTACCGCAAAAAGAAATGGCAACCTACTGCGAGAAAATATCTGCCTCGTCTGGCATGTATTGAAAGATACATGATCGCCTAAATTGAGAAAAGCTATAGAGCCTGTTTTGCTCTCGAAAAAAAAAGCACTATATAAAATTAACTATTTTTTATCCATAACGTTGAATGATTCAATATTATTATTAAATTTGATGTTAAAAATTCCCGCAAAACATTATTGTTTTATTTAAGATGGAATGATCTATTATGACGTCTCTAATTTGTATTTAGATACATTGGATTTATTTTTAATTTTTCTAGTTGAATTGTTCACCTATATTGCATATGATCCAATACTGTACATAATTAGGTTACAATAAAAGTTGTATTTTATATGAAAATTGAGATGTAATAGAGTCAGGAGCTGGTATCATAGATTCAGGGGTGGCAGACGAGACCTTTGCACAATCCCTACCAAGATCTACAGGAGGAAGTTGTCTTTTTCTTTTGTTCATAGAGACCCTCACCCCACCCCCGACGATTGAAGTAGTCAAGGGACATGATGATGATGATCTATTATGACATGTCTCTAATTTGTATTTAGATACATTGGATTTATTTTCAATTTCTCTAGTTGAATTGTTCACCTATATTGCATATGATCCATTATTGTACATAATTAGGTTACAATAAAATTTGTATTTTATATGACTCTAACCTTATGCACTTTGACATGGAGACCGGGAGATGGCGTGTCACAGATTGGTGGGGGTATCATTGTTTTGAGGTACGCGACCCTTTTGCAGTACTATATGCAAACATATCTCTCTCTCTCTCTCTCTCTCTCTCTCTATATATATATATATATATATATATATATATATATATAAACAACTTACATGCGTATATATACGAGGAGATGATGAACATACACACACACACACACACACACATATTTATATATATGTTTCCTGCGTACATTTATATACATTACAAATTAAACTAAGCACAAAGGATGAAAGATTTTAACGGACTTTAACGTCATTCTTTTTGTCTAAATCTGTGAATTTTTTAACATTATTTTTTATCCATAATGTTGAATGCGTTAAAATTATTTCTCAAGAAAATTCTCAAGTTAATGTTAAAAATAACCGCAAAACATTGTTGATTTATTTAAGTTGGAATGATCTATTATGACAGGTCTCTAATTTGTATTTAGATACATTGTGTCTGATTTCAATTTTTCTACTTGAGGTGTGGGGGGTTAAGCCTAATTGGGGATCGCGGGTGATGCTCAGTAACTTCGCTATCATTTACTTTTTTCTACCTACATCTGTTTACGTTACAAATTAGACTAGGCACAACAGACTATTAAATGATGGAGGTTTTCTTAAACACATTTTAACATCATTCTGGGATCTTTGTGAATTTGTTTTTTTCATTTGTCTCGAAAAAAAAAACACGATATAAAATTCACTATTTTTATCCATAATGCTGAATGTGTTAAAATTATTCAACATTTTAACAAGAAAAATCTTAAGTTGATTTTAAAAAATGCCGCCATTTTTTTTCTTTATTTAAGATGGAATGATTGATTATTATCTTCTCGCCACTATTAAGCGTCGGAAGATGGCATGTCTCGGCCATGTCACACGCCATAATAGCCTCTGCAAGACCATCTTGCAAGGCAGTGTTGAAGGCAGACGCAAGCGGTGACAAGGCAAGAACTAGTCAGACAATAGCAAAGAGTAAACGGATATCACCATTCCGGAACTCCTGAGATCCATCGCCAACAGATCATCCTGGAGGAGATTATCTCTTTCTTCAGCCTTTAGGTTACTCCTGACGATTGAAGCCGTCAAGGGATACGATAATGATGATGAAGATCTATTATGACAGGTCTCTAATTTGTATTTAGATACATTGCATTTATTTTCAATTTTTCAAGTTAAATTGTTTACCTATATTGCATAGGATCCATTATTGTATATAATTAGGCTACAATAAAATTTGTATTTGATATGAAAATTGAGATGTATTAGATTCAGTGGCCCCCATATGATAGAAGGGGGCGTATCATAGATTGGGGGGGCACAAGATTCTTCCACCGTCCATGTTATTATTACCTTAAGAAAATTGAGTTGTAGCCGAGTCGGGAGCTGGTATCATAGATTAAGGGTGAGGAACGAAACCTTTGGGCCAACTCTACCAAGATCCACAGGAGGAAGTTGTTCTCTTTCTTCTGTTCATAGCTGCCACCCCGACCACCCACTGATGATTGAAGCAGTCAAGTGAGATGATGATGATGATAATCCATGATGACAAGTCTCTAATTTGTATTTAGATACATGGTATTTATTTTCAATTTTTCTGAATTGTTCACTTATATTGCATACTAGCTTAAAAGCCATCCTATCGGGCGGCATTTAAACTAGTTCCTGCTGAGGGCTCTCGATTACGGCTATGGCTTATTCAGGAGTTTCTTTGCATATTTTTCAGCATTGGAAGCTCTCCTGACTTGCATGGGACTTTCTTTTCCTCGCTGCAGCCTCGGCTCCTTTGATTGCAATCTGGCCTCAGTTGGCGTAGATTTCTTTTTGCGAGGCATATTGCTGCCGTATACGATAGGCACAAAGAAACTACAGAAGAACTCAAAATTGATCGCTGCATTAATATTTAACCTTACCTTTTAAAAGCTCAACAATATTTCCAGCGTAAGGTTCTTCATTGAGCTTTAATCACAATAGTTAGGAAGGAGTAGATGCGATAGGCAACAATAAACTACAGAAGAACTCAAAATTGATCGCTGCATTTAAGTATTGCATTAATATTTAAGCTTACATTTTAAAAGTTCAACAATATTTCCAGCGGAAGGTTCTTCATTGAGCCTTAATCACAATAGGTAGGAAGGAGTAGATGCGATAGGTAACAATAAACTACAGAAGAACTCAAAATTGATCGTGGCATTTAAGTATTGCATTAATATTTAAGCTTACCTTTTAAAAAGTTCAACAATATTTCCAGCGGAAGGTTCTTCATAGAGCCTTAATCACAATAGTTAGGAAGGAGTAGATGCGATAGGCAACAATAAACTACAGAAGAACTCAAAATTGATCGCTGCATTTAAGTATTGCATTAATATTTAAGCTTACCTTTTAAAAGTTCAACAATATTTCCAGCGTAAGGTTCTTCATTGAGCCTTAATCACAATAGGTAGGAAGGAGTAGATGCGATAGGTAACAATAAACTACAGAAGAACTCAAAATTGATCGTTGCATTTAAGTATTGCATTAATATTTAAGCTTTCCTTTTAAAAGTTCAACAATATTTCCAGCGGAAGGTTCTTCATTGAGCCTTAATCACAATAGGTAGGAAGGAGTAGATGCGATAGGCAACAATAAACTACAGAAGAACTCAAAATTGATCGCTGCATTTAAGTATTGCATTAATATTTAAGCTTACCTTTTAAAAGTTCAACAATATTTCCAGCGTAAGGTTCTTCATTGAGCCTTAATCACAATAGGTAGGAAGGAGTAGATGCGATAGGCAACAATAAACTACAGAAGAAATCAAAATTGATCGCTGCATTTAAGTATTGCATTAATATTTAAGCTTACCTTTTAAAAGTTCAACAATATTTCCAGCGTAAGGTTCTTCATTGAGCCTTAATCAAAATAGGTAGGAAGGAGTAGATGCGATAGGTAACAATAAACTACAGAAGAACTCAAAATTGATCGTTGCATTTAAGTATTGCATTAATATTTAAGCTTACCTTTTAAAAGTTCAACAATATTTCCAGCGGAAGGTTCTTCATTGAGCCTTAATCACAATAGTTAGGAAGGAGTAGATGCGATAGGCAACAATAAACTACAGAAGAACTCAAAATTGATCGCTGCATTTAAGTATTGCATTAATATTTAAGCTTACCTTTTAAAAGTTCAACAATATTTTCAGCAGAAGGCTCTTCATTGAGCCTTAATCACAATAGGTAGGAAGGAGTAGATGCGATAGG